CCGCTCAACAAAGTCGACAGCGGAGCTAAAAAGTAAAACATTGACACGGACGACGACGGACAATCACTCATATGATAAGCTCCGCTCGACAAAGTCGACAGCGGAGCTAATAAAGACACACACAGGTGGCAAGCATGATGAAAAATATGCAAATTAACTAATTAATATCCACATGCTTCACACAATAACTATTACTCGTATTAGAGCAGTTGGGAGCTGATGATAATCAAGTGATACTGTACAGATACAGCACATCAATGTGTGCACTGTTGATTGGACCTGAAAAACTGGTAGCAAGCATGCTCAAAATATGCAAATTAACTAATTAATATGCATGCACTTCACATAATAACTATTACTCGTGATAGAGCAGTTGGGAGCTGATGATAATCAAGCGATACTGTACACAGATACAGCGCATCAATGTGTGCACTGTTGATTGGAGCTGAAAACTGTACAATAGTTGTCGATCTCCACTAGATCAGGATTTTATTACTTTCCTTATGCATCCTCCTAATGCTCAGAAACTAATCGCATCACAAGAGACAGGTTTCACGTTCCGCTGTCATATCCCATTGCAATGCAATGTAATTACGCAGCCAGACAGCGGCACTGTCCTTATTACAGAAAGTAATATGCGAAACCTTGCACAGTAGCATAACAGACTGACAAAGTATCACAACCATCATCAATCCTCAATAATAATAATGATCATAAAAAAAAAAAATAGAAAAGCATAATAAAAAGAGGAAAGATTTATGCTTTGAAGAATATGTCGATGTTCACTAGTTTGAATGCACATGCTGAGCACAGACCAGAATTAATGAAGTATTCTGACATTTTCTTCTTCACATTGTATGCAGAGCAGTGGATTTCTCAAGAGAGATGGGTTTTTATACTGAATTGTATATATATATATATACTTGTAATACTACAAATATACATCTGTCACTTTCAGCGTGTTAACCAATCTTTGATACTGCTAAAAATGTTGCCAATTTAAGCAATCACAATCTTTGAGACATACAAAGCATCCAATCATTATGCTTGATACACCTGCACTGCCACCGATTCAACCAATCACTATGCTTTATATATTTGTACTGCTGTCATTTCAACCAATCACTATCTTAGACACATCTGCACAGTCACCAATTCAGCCAATCATGATACTTCATACAGAAGTACTGTAACTGGTTTAACCAATCACAATATTGAATAAATATGTTCAAATAGCTGTCCAATATAATTGCCAGAAACAGCAAAATACAAGTCTGATGAATAAATTTGTCAAATACAAACTATCAGTACTCTGCACAAACACATTTGGATTGTAAAATAGTAACAGTTTCAGGACCATCAACAAATTTTGAGGATTTTTTTTTCACGACCTCAGATACAACATTACAGTAAAACATCATAGCTCCGTAAATGCTTGGAATGGCGCCATAATATATTTATCACCGTGTTTTAGTGAAATTAAATGTTTCAGTTTTTACAGGTAAGGAAGCTAAGCCTGCAGTAAAGAAGAAACCAATTTTGCACAAGTCATCAAAGTCGGCAAACATCCATCATTATTTTGAACACAAGTTTAATTCATGCCTGAATATTGTAAATTATATTTATTTCACAGAGGCATTTTTGACGGGAAACATCAGGAAATTTGCTGCAGTGAATTTATTGTAATTTTTTTTGATAAAAAGTCACAGTCGCTTTAGTCCCAATAAATTTCTTTAAGTTATTGAGTCTAAACCTCTCTGGCAACAAAAAATGTTAAAGGTTGAAATAAAAAAAATGTTTGAAGTTGTCAGTTATTTGTAAAACGAAATTACAACTTGGTGATAATAAAAATACATCTTATAAATCATGATGTGCATCTTTGTTCATTATATGTTATTGTACACTTGGGAGACAACATAATCCATCTCCGATGAAAAAAAAAAAGTAAAAATATCATGTATCAGTGAGAAGAACAGGTTGAAAAATTGGCAGCCATGTTTGTTTTTTTCTCAGCGTTTCTTTAATTATGAATAGTAAAAAATTTAATTATTCACTTGAATTTTAATTGTGTTTATTTCACAGTCTCCACTAAATTGAAAAAGATACAGTATATCAATAACTTTGATGATAAATTGATGAAATTGTGAATTAAATATGAGTAATATCCTTCAAATATTTGCAAAATTAATCTATGAGTAAATATACTAGTTTTATAGTAGCATATCGGCTTCTATTTAGTGCAGCATTTTTCATTTGCTATGACGTCATCGTAACTCCTATAAAATGCAGATCGCCTTGCCATAATTTCAAAAGTTATTTGAATTTTAGCGAAAATATTGCATGATTTGGCAGCTATTCTAGAATTAACCTAATAATTGTCATTGTGTCGATGGTGAATAATTTGCTAAGGGATGAAGTCAAAAGATCAATGTCGGATAAAAAAACTTATTTGCTTCAGTTTGGGGGTG